GAAAAAGACCTGCAAGAGACTGGATACTACCAAACTCAAGCAGGAGGAGACCTCAGTAGAGCTTGCTAATGATCTCAACAGAAAACTGAAAGATCTCCGCATGGGTGAATCCTCTGTGGAGGACGATTGGTCGACACTCAAGAAAACTGTATATTCAACAGCCCTTGAGCACCTGGGTTCAACAAAGCGGAAGAACCAAGACTGGTTCGACGAGAACGACCCACAGATTTCATCCCTACTGGCTCAAAAGCACCATCTCCACAGACTCGCCATGAACGACCCTGCATCAATTGCCAAAAAGACTGCCTTCACTAACATTCGTAGAGAGGTTCAGAACCGTCTCAGACAGATGCAGGATGACTGGCTCAGCAAAAAAGCGGATGAAATCCAAGCCTATGCTGACATGAAAGACTCTAAACGTTTTTACGACGGAATTAGAGCATTGTATGGACCCCAAGCCTCAAGCTCGTCCCCTCTCCTTAGTGCTGATGGGGCAACACTCATCACAGATCGAGCCAAGATTCTGGATCGGTGGGCTGAACACTTCGAAGCTGTCCTAAACCGCCCATCCAACATCAACAATGCAGCTATTGAACGTCTCCCACAGATCCCAGTTAACCAAGAGCTGGATATACTGCCGTCCCTCTCCGAGACTCAGAAGGCCATCAGCCAAATGAGCAATGGAAAAGCGCCAGGCCTCGACGGCATTCCAGCCGAGGTATACAAGTCTGGAGGACATGTGCTAACCCAGAAGCTAACTGACATCTTTTGTGCCATGTGGGAGAAAGGTACAATCCCCCAGGACTTCAAAGATGCCTCTATTGTACACATCTACAAACGGAAAGGAAACCGTCAGTCCTGCGACAACCATCGTGGCATCTCACTCTTGTGCATAGCCGGCAAGATCCTAGCAAGAATCCTTCTAAACCGCCTCATCAAACACCTTGAACAAGGTCACCTTCCGGAGAGCCAGTGTGGCTTCCGAGCTGGCAGAGGCACAGTGGACATGATCTTTGCAGCCAGACAACTCCAAGAGAAATGTCAAGAACAACACAAGGATCTATACACCACCTTCATCGACCTAACTAAGGCCTTTGACTTGGTGAGTAGAGAGGGGCTATGGAAGATCATGGCCAAGTTCGGCTGCCCAGAACGCTTCACCTCCATGATACGACAGTTCCATGAAGGTATGACAGCCCGTGTCCAAGACGATGGAGAAACCTCCACAGCCTTTCCAGTGACCAATGGAGTGAAGCAAGGGTGTGTCTTGGCACCAACCCTATTCAGTATTGTCTTCACAGCCATGCTGACTGATGCCTTTCACGGCACCAAGGAGGGAATAGACATCAAATACAGAACAGACGGGAAGTTACTAAACCAACGTCGCCTGCTTGCGCTAACGAAGGTGAAGCACACAGTCCTGAAAGACTTCCTCTTCGCCGATGACTGTGCCCTTAATGCCACAAGCGGACAGGATATGCAAGTATCAACCGACAGGTTCTCTGGGGCTTGTGACAACTTTGGTCTCATCATCAGCACCAAAAGACGGAAGTTTTGTACCAACCACGTCCCGGCAAACCTTACAAGGAACCTTGTGACACAGTTCATGGCCAAGTCCTAAACCCTGTGGACAAGTTCACCTACTTGGGCAGTACCATGTCACGGCAGGCAAACATAGATGAGGAAGTGAACGGCAGAATCTCTAAGGCCAGCAGTGCTTTTGGGAGACTTCGACGCAATGTCTGGGACCGAAGGGGAATCAAGCTCAGCACAAAACTTAAAGTGTATCAGGCAGTAGTCATTACTACTCTTCTCTATGCCTGTGAGACTTGGACAGTTTACAGAAGACATGCAAAACAACTAAATCACTTCCACACAACATGCCTTCGTAGACTCCTTAAAATTCATTGGCAAGACCACACCCCAGATACGGAGGTACTTTCCCGTGCCAACATGCCCAGCATTCACACCCTCATAGAGAAGGCCCAAGCAAGGTGGGCAGGACACGTCCGACGGATGAACGACAGCCGCATACCCAAAATGCTGCTGTATGGGGAACTGGCTGAAGGCAAAAGGCTAGCGGGCCGCCCCAAGCTCCGCTTCAAGGACAGCCTCAAGGCAACTCTGAAGAGCCTCAGCATTCCTGTCGAAAACTGGGAGGACGCTGCCACTGACCGTCACCAGTGGCGCAGACTAGTCCACCAGGGCGCCGAGCTTGCTGAGCGTCGTCGCATCAGCCTGGCTGTCAGTAAGCGGGAGGCACGAAAGGCGAGGGAGAAAAACCCGTCTCTACAACCACTACCTGAGCACAAGTGTGACGTCTGCGGCAGGTGCTTCCGGGCTAGAATTGGGCTCGTCAGCCACACCCGGACACACAAGGACTGAAGTTGGGGTCATCATCGACTGCGATGGACGAACATCAGTATTTCATGGACTCTCTCGAACACTCCTGTGTAATACTGGCTACTTTGAATTTTGAAAGACAGAAGTTGATTTCACTGATTTATGATGAAGAAAAATATGGGAATATGAAAAAGGATGTCAAAACAGAAATTTAAAGGTCACACTGACTTGACATCTGTGCAGTCTGATTTTCTCCAGTTAAAAAACAAATAAAGGAGTTATGCTATGCTGACCAGAAATATGCGGAACACAGACGAAGACGGACACACCAACAGACTATTTCGTGCCCCTACTATGTCGACGTCTAGATCATATCAAAACTGGAATTTCCGCTGCAGTACAATAACAAGCCGCCAGGGGGACCAAAATTTGAGGTCTGATCAAGACCTATCCACCTACCAAATATCAAGACAATCCATTAAGCCTTCTCGAGTTATCGTGTTTAGAGACACACAGACACACACGGACAAACGCACGAACGCCTCTAAAAACATAACCTTCTTGGCGAAGGTAATGATGCATAGTTTCAAGAAGCTAAGCTAGGCCTAGGCCTGGTTGGATTGCGATTATTGACGCAGAAATCCCGGCACAAGGCTCCGACCCAACCCTTCCGGTGCCACCGCATCACCCATGTCACCTGCACCTCCCAACCTCACAGGTTCTTCTGTAACCTGTCCTCGGATGCTGGTGCTAAAGATCGACCGCGCTTTGATATAAACATCATCGCTAAAAGTACTTTAATACATACATTTTGTATTAAAAAAAACAGACGGAAACTGGTTGCCGTTTTCTTTTTCCCCCGGCAGAGCTATCCCGCGGCAAATACGTTAGCCTTAGGATCCTGCCTAGGGCTAACGTATTTTGCATGTTTTCTTTGCACTTCCAAGAAAACCTTAGAGCACTGCTCATGTAAAACTGTGTATAATAAGTATATTGCTGTTCAGGGTTCGTGTCAACTATGTGCCGTACCGCTGAACATATCTGGGCAAGGACATTATTTTACTGTGTATAATGTCCTTGTTCTGGGTAAGGCAGTTGTGTGTGTTTAGTCAACTGGACAGAAATACACAGTATCACATGACCAGTCCTCTAGTGCACATCCTTGACCAACTTTCTGTCAAATGGTGTTGTTCCAACCCTCCCCACCACAGAACTGTCAACCCAGGGGACTGGGAGTAAACTAACTACCACTACCGACTGGAAAAGGTCTGAAAACTGCAATTTGGGGGATGAATCGGTGTTACCTATTGTTATTGGGGTTTTAAAGGGACTTCCCTGGTCTGCATTGTTTCTATGCAGATGTCAGGGGCTGGAAACAAAGGGCTGTATTCTAATGCAAAGTAAACAAAGGAGAATCCACTCATTTCCTTGTGTAATAAGCCATTTACCTCCATGATTAAGCCTGTTACACTTTAAGGTGAATAGTATTGAAACAATAGTAACAGTCAGAAGCTCACAGCTACAATGAATGTTTATTTAGATGTTACATTTTCGTGTCCACTCTATACACTTCTGAAACAGAAGAGACAACAACATAACTTTAAAATAGTTATAGATCTGGCTAGTCTGGAACACCAGTACAATCAGGGTGTTCCACTGCTTTAAAGCAAAGCCTTAAGTTAAAAGCCTGGTAGCAAGGCTAGCTAGTGTACATCATGTATTTGGCATTGTATACATAACAAATCCTGCAAAACCATGTAAAGCCTTTTCCCTGTTCAAGTTCCATTTCAGCCACAGTCTTATGGCCGACTGAATCATTTTCATACACAGCATCATTCTTCAATCTAAGAAAATACAGTAACGTCAATTGCATTCTCCACACCCCTTACTCTCTTAAGTAGCTATGTTGAATACAACATAAGTTTCCACAGTAGCCACATTGTTAGAATTTGAAATGTAAAGAAAAAAACTGATGCAACAGTGACTTGCTTTGACACATTGATATTGAACTTTGTCTCATTCGATGATGAAATACCTCTGACTTATTAAATGTACATAGAATTATAGCACTCTGGTATTATATTCTCCCTTTTCACACACACATGATCTATACATGGTTAAAAGAGTTTTCTGGATAATTTTGCTAATAAGGTTGGAAGAAGAGATTTCAAAGGCAATGTAGGCAGTACACCACCTGCACAAGTATCAGTATGTGACTTTAAGATTGTAGACTGAGTGATAGTATTACACTGGCAAAAACAGCTGATACCAGGTCCTCTGTAACGTGAGTAACAAGTTTGTAACTTCTCTCAATCGAGTAAGAAAATACATGTACACAAAGACAGAAACCTTTTCACTTATCTCCAAGCAGATGTAATGATCCAACTCAGTCTCTGTGTTCAACATGAGTTTTGCAACATTTAGTTTGTCAATCTAGTATTGGTGCTCCTTTCTAACCCTCTTCCTGCTGCCTAACCCTGTAGCTAATAGCCAAATGGCTACTGGTACTTCAGTGTGAGTAGCTATTTGTAGTAATACATGTATATGCACCACTAGGAAGACAAGGAGTTTTCTACAATTGTTGGGGCCAAAATATGAGCATTTTGGATTTGATTCATAACCTGAATCTTTCTTCTTTTGGCAAATCAGAAAAAAAATGAAGTAGGTGAATCTGAGAACAAATTAAATTGGTGTGGCCAAAATAATATATACATATATATCCACTCCTGGATTTTGAACCTGCTTCGATTTAGACACTGCAAACAACTAGTGTGCAAAAGATGGGAGGGTTGTCCAAAAGAAAACGGGCACCATCAAAAAGAACTGTGGAATTGCAGGATAGGCTGAAAAATACCAACAAAACCAACCCCCACTGATTTATTCTGCTTGGAGATTATAATGAGACAAAACTGTGACCAGCTGTGAATTCAAAGTGTAACAAACATGTAGGCTTCAAAGACCAAAGTATCATTATAATAACATGTAATAACATATTGTGATTGCATCACCCATCTTAGAACATTGTTTGCAGTCAAGGCACGCGAGGATCAAAAATTACAACGACCTCAACCAAGGATGTTGTTGTTTGAAGCTCCTTGCCTCAACAAAGTTGAAAAGAAAAAGTATTTCCGTGACACTTTTCACTATCAAACTAAGGGTTCTCTCCAGCTTTAAATTTGGATAAAGCAAAGTTTTGTGAACAGTGCTGGAGGTCCAATGAGGCTTGGGGCCATGCTTCTGTAGGACCTCTTGAAATGCTATTTTGAGAGAAAGGTTTCAAATGGCTTTGTTGCACTGTTAAAAAAAGATTTGATTTATAGTTGTCAAGGGGATGAAATGGTGAAGGTAAAAATAGTGCTGAACTTGAAGATTAACATGAAAAGTCAGAGTGGAACGTCTGGACCTTGGTTACTACATTGAAAGGAAATTTTGTACTAGTCTGTTGCAGTTTTTCTCCCAACCCTCTGTTGTTACAATGACTTGTTGGTAAATTTTCAGTTTAATATGTCCAACAACCAAGGAAATAAATTGGCAAGGCCAAATCAGTGAACTCAAGTTCTCCAAACAGTTATGCTTTGAAATACACCTGGTCCAGTCCCGCCATGGCACATAGCACTACTTTTTTGAAATATCATACATTTTTGCATATACTGTAACATAGAATATAACACATGGCATGATTTTGTAACTTCACATTTGCAACTTTGAAGTTTGAATACTTGCACACATCCGACATTTAAGGAAAACCCAAATACAATAGCAAGCTCAGAAAAACATGATATTGAATAATACTGCAGTAAAAACACAAGCAGCCAATGGGGAGGGCTGTTTCATTATGTTTACAAAACTGGGTGCATAAATTATCTTTTTGATGTCTGCTATGACTGTGCAGGGTGATGTAAGACCAACACATCAAAAACAGTCCTCCAATGTTATTGCTGCTCTTATCCAGTACAGCAGGCCATATGGGGTGTTTGCAGGTGAAGATAATTACATATACAAAGTACTCAAATCTACTTGGGCCTAGGAAAAAATGTTGTGTTTCCTGTTTCAGTCCTGAAAAAATTAGGGTTGGTAGGTAGGTTGGGATTATCTTTTTTTCTTTTTTTTAAAGACTTTTGATGACCTTTAGTGATCAAACATACAGTTTAACAAAGTCAAACTGACATGAAGACACTTATATTTTCAATGTCAATGCTGGAAAATCTGTTATACAACGTTTCATCACTCAGGTGTCAGATCATAGAGTTTAAAAGGTTGATAAGCTCGAAGAATTTCTGTCCCTTGCAGAGGTCAACACAAAAAATGCTAGAGTTGGCAGTTTTTCTAGGGTCGGTCGGGAAACAGGAAATACAAATTTTTTTCTAGGCCTTGGCAAATTTCAGGTTGAACCACCTAAGATGGCGGTTATTTCTGGTCAGGGCTGGGGGCGGCCGGGGCCTCAGGCTTCACTATCTGGTAGGTGATCAGGTATTCTGGAAAAGCCTGAAAGGACAAAAAACAATCACACTATTTTAGTTATGTGCAAATGTTTTATTACTGTTTTTCTAACAGTATGTATTTGTCAATACTTTACATTTGGCACTGCATTAACTTCAAGTTAGTATTATTGGTTAACAATATATATAACATGTAACATGTAACAATACCTTACATTGGGAGCTGCATATCTCACTACTGCATCAAATTCTATGTATGTCACTGTTATTTTTCATTTCTAAGACCACAAAGTTAGTGCACAGTGAACCAGTAACACCTAGCTTCAATGCTGGTATCTTCAGATTTTGCTATAATCTACCATGCATGTTTTTCTTTTCAAGTCCACAATTCTTCTTTAGAGACATTAGCTGTACAGCCATCTTAACATCCTATGCTATATGGAATGCACGTCACAAGCCATATTGGGAGTCAGACACCTTACCTGCATTGTAGTATCATCTCGCACTCAATACAAGCAGAACCTTTTAAGTTTATCAAATTCTTCTTTTAAGAAAAACTTTGTAATACTCAAGGAAAACTGTGCAATACCGGTATCACGTGTCTTAATGTATTGTATTGCAATGTTATCTGTCTGATGTTTCCCTGCATGTTCGGTCAGTTATGGTCAATGTGACCTGGGCTCAATGTCTTTTTCCTATTTGTGAGTAAATAATGATTTTATGACTGACCTGTTCGCCCCTGTAGATGACGTACTCTGCGAAGTTGAGCCCGCCGACACTGGGCCTGCCGATGACAGAGTGGTGTCCCGGGGGAGCGTGGGCCATCTTCATTGCACTGAACTGTAGGAATGCCTTACCCAACGTAACTCTGCAGAACAGCATTTGTCTGGAACACAATCATATGTAAGTTAGATAAAGCCCTCCCACAACCATTAGCATGGTCGCATTATGGCAATGTCAACTGTAGGGACACCCAGAGGCGCAACTCCACACCACTGAACTTAGCTGGTCAGTTCAGCTTACTGCTGCTTGTCTGACAGTTACATGATTCTTAAGGCACTTTAAAAGCTAAAGTCCTTCCTGCACCATGTGGTGTATAGGGCGCCACCCATCTCTGTTTCATAGCCCTTGGGCCACACAGTTGTGCAATCACTACAGCAGGGGGCTAGTCCACTGGTAGTGGTGTGTGTTTAACTCCCTTATTCTTTCTCAAATACTGAGTGCTACATGTAGAGAAAGTAATATGTGCCATTTTTGAAGTCGTTGGTATGACTCGGTCGGGGATCAAACTCACGACCCACCAAATGCAAGATGAGCACTCTACCCACTTGGCCATTGCATTGGTCTTAACATAATCATGTTTGAGAAAATTTAAATAGTCCATTTGTGTTGTGGTGCTGACCTTTGACAGATGTAACAGGAGCGGTCCTTGTGGATAGGACAGCCTGTCCCTCCCCCTATTCCATACACATACTGGTTACTCTTCGACGAGTTCTCTGCAAAGTAGATACCTGGAAAGACACAAAAAATAAATAAAAACGTACTTATCAAATTCATTTCTATTTGCATGGACGTGCCACAGTAGAATCAACTTCAATCTGGTAGAAATGGAAATTCTACTGGTAGAGATCCTGATTTGAATCTCTGTCAACCTAAACTTCAATCAAAATCTGTGCCAGTAGAGATTCCTATCAGTCTCTGCTGGTTCAATCTGTAATTATGTTCAGTATTATACATGTACAGCATTAAAAGATAACTTATTGCAAGCACAGACTATTTGAATAATGTAAGTAGCTACCAGTAATGTTACTGACTGTTCAACTTTTAGGCTATGTTGGGCAATGTTAAGTTATAGCAATAGACCTCAGCACGTCTACCGACAGAGATCCTGATTGGAGTTTCTGTTGACAGAGACCCTGATCGCAATTTCTGTCGGTAGAATCACAGACCAGAGTGTCTGTCCTGACATATACAATAAAACAGACCTTTTCTTACTAATGCAGAAAAGAAAAAGTATTTGGAAGACAATAAAAAACTTGTTATTTACCAGTGGGAAAGATTCACAGAGTTTGACTGTAGGGATACAGAAATGGTAAAGCAAGGCTTACCTGCTCCAAACATGCCGCCAATGTAGGCATGTCTCTCATCAAACCCTTTGTTGATTATTGCATTAATGAAGGGTGAACCTGGAAGTGGGAAAAATCCAACCCGTAAGTTTGAAACAAACTCAAAATACAAAACAATACACTGTTAAAAAAATTCAGAAAAAGGGAATGATGACAATCAACTACATACAACATTTATTTTAACTTGCAAATGAACAAATATACTACGCCCTCATTCATGACCCGCATGTATAATAAGTATTGTAAAGTCACTTTATATCTGTGGTACTTTCAAATTCGCAGTTTTGTGGTCACTTCTGTACTGCAAACAAATAATTCGCCAAATTTCTTTCTTCTGCACCTGCCACCATCGCGAACATATAGTTCTGCAAACATGTCAATTTTTCTCAGACTGTGAAATTTTGCTACCGCAAATGTAATGTGATTTACAGTATCTTCAGCAGGATTCATTTGTGCAGTAGCTGGGGACTGGTGGTTTAAAGTTTGTGGTTGAATCAACTGTGTAGTATAGTTTTCTTTCAATATAATGGTCAACACAAAATCCTTGAAAATAAAACAACTGCAAACATCTCAACATTTGCAGTACTTCAACGAAACATTTTTCAGTTCTGCAGCTTCCATCTTAGTTTTGTGGTGCATTGTGGGAAATATACACAGTGTAACACAGCTGGCTTTACAATGATGTCATAGTGGTGGAAGTCACGTCGACTAACCATGAAACAACATCCTCTCGTTGGACTGGTTATGGTTCTCTTCTGACACTTCTTTTCTCCTGTGGACGTAACGATCCCAAAGTCTCTTGTTTCGAACCTTCTGAATCTGAAATAATGAAGATACAATAATGAAGATAGATCATATAATTATAATGTAAAAACAAGAGATGCCAAAATAGGAATTCAAACAAAAACTGAATTGTACTGACAGGATCACACCAACACTTGCTGGCAGCAATAGAACAGTAGTTTGGGGGGTGGGAAGGGGGTTACAGAAGTAAGATTCTAACATACCTTGATAACATTATACCTATTGAAGATCCCCCCAGCTTGGCCCTGGTCTTTGTGCTGACGAATTGTACTCTGCACCTGCAATAAGAAAGTAGATTTACTACGTGGCTTTTCAAATTTACACATTCAACAATAATTACATTTGGTACAGTACACCTATGAGGAGTGGCCAAATTTCTGCATAATTATACTAAACTTGGCACAAAACTGCAAAAATGTCACATTTTGTGGAATTTCTTTAGTTTGTGTAGTGCCATTGCACAGCAAACTAATCACAGTGCAAATACATTTTTGTATATGTCTTGTTTTCCATACAAAATCTTAGTGTTGTAAATTTGAATTAATATGCAGGTTGATAAACCTGGAACAACCTTGAGTCCTCAATACAAGATACAAATGCAGTACATCTGACTAGACCTGCAACAATATTGGACCTTCAACATACAAGACAGTATTCTTACTTCTCTTTTGATCTACTCAGTTCTGTTTTCATGTACCTTTGTGTTATTCACATTTTTTGTGCTTCATCTTTCGTTCCATTCATCCAATTTCACATGTTCTGGATACTGTGTAGTCTTACATGCATCCCATGTACAATGTACATGCAAAGATATCAAGTTATACTGCGAAGATAGACAAAAGTGAACTCGAATTTTTCTTGTAGTCAGAGTCAAGAAAGGAGAGACTCTAACAATCTTACCTCTTCTTCCACTGACTGATACTCCTTGTCATCTGGACTCAGGTCAGTCAGGATCGTACCATGACTCCCCAAGGCGGGGGTCAGGTATGGGTTTAACGTTGTACCTGGATCAAAGAACATAAATCAATCATAAATTGTACAGCTCTCATACACACAAATGTGTAGCTCTAAGTCTAACATTCAAAATTAACCTTCATCATGCTACAGGTGTCTTGGCTACTAGTATGCACCTCTGTACTCATTTCACTAACAGGTTAGCAAACTAAGGGTTAACACACAATGGTCTATAACAGTATACTGTACACCATCTCCAACTGTTGTATGAAATAATGATCTACATAACAATCAATAGTTACTCCTTCTTACACTGACAAGTTAGGATGCTGATAATTACATGGAAGGGTATACATTTGTACACTGTATATCTATCACAAACTGTCTTATGGCAAAATGACTAGACTAACTATGACTCATCTTCATGTCATTCATCATCATCATCATCACCTGTTCCCCCCAGTATTCTCTCCACCCCTTTGATGAGTTTGTGTCTGTGTCCTACCTGTTCCCCCCAGTATTCTCTCCACCCCTTTGATGAGTTTGTGTCTGTGTCCTACCTGTTCCCCCCAGTATTCTCTCCACCCCTTTGATGAGTTTGTGTCTGTGTCCGTAGGCGTTGACTCCGATCTCCTTAAGCTCCTCGTGGCCCATCTCTCCCAGGATGTCCAGCGTGATCTGTTCCTTGTTGAAGATGTCCAGTAGTTGGTTCAGGCCCAGCTGCTGCAGGAAGCTGGAGATGGTCATGTCCAACAGACCTGCACAGGCAACATTTCTGTTAGTGAAATACACCAGAAGAACATCAATGCAATTTTTAGGTCTGCAAAACAAAAAAATATTGTGTCTCAGAAAGTCACTGTATTTCTTAGCACATGTTTGTCATCTTTTTATACTAGAAGTGTATGTATAGCCCTAAACGAGCAACGTGAGGTCACTGACCTTTATTTGTTTGAAGAAGAAGGAGAAGAGGAAGAAACTGAGCAAAAAGAATATGTTTTCCTTCGGTAAACAAAAAACAAAAGCCATGCAGAACTCACTTTCGCCCTCGACTGCGGAGCGATCGATGGCGCCGTCTCCCTGCCCCGCCCCGCCAACGGCGCCGACCAGGTGGTCCATGCTGGAGGCGGTGGACAGCACGCCGGGGGTGGAGGACGGCGTGGTGCTGGGGGAGGAGATGGGACTCGCCGCCTTGACGGTGGCGGCAGTGATGGCTGCTGGGAGGGACTGAGGCGGCATGGCGTCCACCAGGAGAGCTCGCACGTCTTCAGCCTACGGAAAAAAAGGCTTTAGATATCTGTACCAGGTCTAGCATTATACCCAACTTGTTCGACCGAATTTTTCTGGTCACAAAAATTGTGCATCATCTTCGACTGACAAATCGTTGTGGTAAGATATTGAAAGAGACATCATTAATCTAGGTTAGTCTACTGGAAAAATTTGCCCCTTAAAATGTGCTAACTTATATATGAAAGTTGTCTTGCACTTGCGTTCTTATACATTACTGTATGTATTTCTATGGTACTAACTGTGGCCAAGTCCAGTGGCGTTTGTCCCTCTTGGTTCTTCATGGTAGGGTCGGCACCATGGGCCAACTGGAAATAGGACAAAAGTACATCAGATTAACACTAGCAGTTGTGACATGCAATACAAGTATTAACATCTCATTCCTGTATTACTCTGTGTATACAGTCTGGTCTTGACAATTATTGGGACTTTTTATACCAGAAACATAGATTGTGCCTGGGATATTTAACCCAAATATGAAAACCTGAAAACTGGTATGGGAGTGCCTTGGTCATGTGCTCATGGAACGTTTTAATACTCCTAGAGCATACACAACTTCAAAATTAATGACTTATTTTGTGACTTTTTGGCTACTGTTAGACTAAAAATGTACATTTTGGGGCTCCTATGCGCTGGTACTCGTGCCAAATGACCTGAAATTTGGTATAGCGGTGCGCAGGACAAGATAGGACAAAAACGTGAATGAAGTTATCTGGGCATCTGGACAAAGCAACCCCATACCAATTTTCCATTTGGGTTTGATGCAATGTCATGATGCTATGACATCCTTAAAGTAAAAAATAAAACAGTTAAGTTTACAAAGTAAAAAGAGTCAAATCACCAGCAGTGCACAGAGTTGTGTTCTTCCCTTCTGTGCTGCCTCGTGGAGTGGTGTGAAGTTCCAGCGGTCCGTGGCGTTCACACATGTCCCGTACTTGATCAGTAGCTGGGCAATCTCAACATGCTAGGAACAACAGAGACAACATTAAAGATACTATCTTTCAAAAAAAGGACTTGTACAAATGTAAGTCCGGACCTGAACCCAGGGTATACACAAAATACCAAAGGAAAATGGGGCATCTTTACTGCAAAATTTTGTGGTGTCCACTGCGCATCAGGGTTTAGAAGCAAGATATGTTGTTTGGGTGGCACGACTGAGCAAAACTGTGGCCACATAATTTATGGAGGCTGATACTTGACGATGCCCAATGGCAATGTTTTCTTCATTTTGCAGTGTAAATTTTTTATCTATTAGTAATAACTAGTAGTATTGAAGATTTTAGGTGGTTTAGAACAGAAATGGGAATGTGACATAATTTTTTGGACTTGAACCTAAACATTTTTACTAGTCTGGGACTAGTCCAGCGAACCGGTTCACAGCACTTTTCTCAACTGAGGTGAAACATGATGCTTTTGACTGTTACCACCTATGAAGTTTAAAAGAAATAGTGTGGTTCAGGTTAAGTTTGTCCGGTGCAAATAATTTTCAATGCTACCTGCACCAGTGCAGAAAGCAGGATTTTGAGCCCTGTGATGTGACCAGTGCCTACCCCGTATGATGAGGCGTTGTGTAGCGGGATGAGTCCACCCTTGTCCTGGGCGTTGACGTCTGCTCCATTCTCCAGAAGGAACTCAGCAACCTCCACATTGTTGTAACCAGCTGTGGACATCAGAAAACTGTCTAACTGTCCTTCCAACATTACAACTCATCAGTTTCATTTTGAGTCTAGCACTATCACAACCAATAGAGTCAAACTTCACTTCTTGATATTTAACTCCATGCTGTGTTTAGCTAAATGTACATGGGTTGTATCTAATGAGGATGCCTCTTCTGTACTTGATGACAATTATTTCTATCGTTATGATAGTTTTACGGAAAACCAAGCATCTAAACAACACAGTGCTGGGATGGTACATACCCCTTGATATCATGACTGGTTCTTGCTTTTTCTACACTGATATTAGACACTAAGATAGTTCATCCACCAGTTTACTTGTCATTTTGTGCTTTATGCACAGGCAACACATTTTTCATCTGTCTTCCAATGGCTTCAACAGCAGGGACTGTTAACAGCATGGCTTAGTAAAAACGCAGACACATGCTACTGTCAGAGAAGGATCAGAAAGATGAACTGACCGGCTAAGTGCAGTGGTGTGGAGTTGCGTCCCTGGGTGTCCCTACAGTTGATGTTCTCTGGTGTGGCCAGTTTCTGCACCCGAGCCAGGTTCCCCTTCTTGGCTGCATCCAGCAAAGCAGCATCACCTAAGGACAGAACAACAGACATGTAAGCAAGAACCACATCAGGTTCAGTTTAACTGTTAAGCCTTAGGAAAATTAAATTCCTATTATGGCCTTGGAAAAATTAGGATAGTAGGTAGGGATTCAGTTGTTTAAATCTATATTTTAACATCTTAGTTAAAGTGATCCAACAAATACAGTTCTCCAGACATTAGGATTTTGGACCATCATCGCACACCAGGGCATGACCCTACTCTATTTCTTTAACTTGCATAGGGTGTAGCTTTCCCCAAACAGGGGATCTCTATTCATCTCCCTAATTAAAGCTAGGTACTCATTTCTACCTGAGTGAAGTGAGGAAAGTCATGCAAAGTGCTAATAATGGGGCATGTTAGGGGATTGGAACCCAGGATCTCTGGGTTCTTAGTCTTGGTGTCCTGACCTCTGAGTAAGTCCTGTATGTCTGTGTCCCCGTCCCGCACCAAGTCCAGCGGAGTGTTCCCATCACGGTTCTTCTTGTTAGGGTCGGCACCGTGCTGAAAAAAAACATGGATATGGGGGCTCAAAACTCTACATGTCGTTTTCTTCATGGCTTGTCATTTGTTTCAGCTGCATCAAGATAATGTTGCCATTGTCAAAAAGTGTTATCGTGTTCCATCATGTTTTGCAATTTTTTCTTCGCACCTGTAGATTGCAGTTCACAGTACTGTACTGCAATATTTATGCATTGCATCATGGATTAGATGGTCATACACAAAATTGTTAAACCAGATTGGTCTGATTCTGCATGAAAGTCAAACACATAAGGTCTTGTGCATAGTGTTCAACAGAGCGTCTTGTTTACGGCTGTAATACGGTATATAAGGATTATATCCTGTCATCAGCTTACAAATGCTGTGTTCGAACAGAGATATCGTCTGCATCGGTCAAAATTCTGATGCGGCGTTGATTAAACATTAGATGAAAACTGTAAAACATACAGGTTTCACGCAAACGCATTACGTTCTGCCAATGTGCTTACCCTCATCCATACATTTGTACTCCAGTGCTATATTTTGTAATTATTTTTGTACATACAATCAATGTTTTCTTTGTAAAAAAAAATAATACCAGTCTTATGACTATAACATGCTGAATGTGACATTAGAATTTGTCATCAGCAAAGATGGAAGACACTGCATACAAACGCAGTCTTACCTTCAGGAGCAGTTTGCAGATCTCGTACTTGCCCTTGGCTGCCGCTTCATGAAGCGGGGTAAACTTCCACAGGTCAGCGACATTCACCACGGCCCCGTGCTGCAGAAAACACACCAGTCACAACACACGCTTGTAAGACGTTCTAAACCCAAACCAATCTATCTTCTTTGTTCTTGGATGTTTTGAAGTAAAATTTTTCACAAGACCACAAGATGAAAACAGAGGCTTGAGGGGAAACCTTGCATCTACCAGAGTTCACATTTTACATAGTTAAGACCCTCTGCCACGTACATAAACAATAAAACAAAATCTCCAGAGACAGCAGGTTTACCTTGAGGAGCAGCTCACAGACTTCATAATGGCCATAGGAACAGGCATTATGGAGAGGCACCAGTCCACTGTAACAAGAGAGAAAATTTCAAATCTTGACCCTCTGAAACGCATTTTCTGCATTTTGAGGGAAAAATTTTGTTGGTACACAAAGCTTAGTTTAAGGACATCTCTTATTGTATCCTCACATGCCGATTTTTGTGATGACAGACTGGGCAAAATTTTAAGTCATGAGCAGCAAATAATGGAAAGACAGATACGAATGATGGACACTGCCTAGAACACTAATCATATCAAACATCTGGGAGTTTATTTTTAATCAAGTCTACATAGTTTTTGTTTGCTGTGTGTGTCTGTCTGTGTGCGAGTGTGTCTGTCTGTGTGCGTGTCTGTCCGTGTGCGTGTGTTTCTGGCCATGTGCATGTGTCTGTCCGTGTGCGTGCATGTGTATCAGCTGACCCTTTGTCCTTGGCGTGGACGTCAGCGCCATGTTGGAGGAGGTACTCCACCACCGCCACACGGTTGTAGCCCGCGGCGAAGTGCAGCGGCGTGGAGTGTCGACCGTTCACGTCACGACAGTTCACGGTGTGCGGGTTACACAGGACCTAGAAAAGTGTGAAAATAGGTGAGCTTTTTTCATTCATAAATCTCTTTAAAAATGCATACTGTATTTTGTTTGTTAGAACCATTCTTTATTTATGAAAGCTCAAATTGGCAAGCAACTAATAGACATCACAAAAACTGATTTCATGTAAGGGAATGTTTTAATCTGCATTTGATACAGTTCAAAAAGATCCATACAGTACTTCATTTCTTTCTGATCACTCACAGGTATTACTAGTGAAAATAAAACTTTCTTCACATTGCCTGCAGTATTTCCTTTTTACACCATACTCTCCAGTTCCATATTGTATATAGTCTTTAAAACTGTACGTATGTCCTACCTTGACAGCTTCTAAGTCTCCTGCCTTGGCAGCCTCCAGAAGCTGGTCACACTCGTCTGCTGGGCCACTGGGAGGGTCCTCTGTACACGGACAGGGAAGGTATCGTCAAGTTAACAACATGTACATGAATAACCAGTCAATACATTTTTAAACAGCTGTATTGATCAATAGCAAGGGACAATAAACCAATAAACAACAACAACATTTCTTTTGTTTTGAGTGGTAACTTTTGTTGGTAGACTACAGTAAGCTTAGTTTAATCTCTTTCCATATCTTTACACACTTCTTTTTGTCCATCAAAGATGATGGATTGGGCAAAATTTTTGGACTGTCAGCAAAATTCCGTGAAATGACTGAAAGATGGATGCTGGCTAGATGCACTGATCAGAATACTGGACACTGAGTAGGACTACATTTTAAGAGGTATGAAGGTGATGATATGTATGTATATACATGTATCTATATATCAGGGCACTCCAGCCATCACTTAACAGAAATGGTGGACAAAATAAGCCCCCTGGCACATTTGATCAATTGCTGACGTCACGTATCCGTAAAGTCTCATGTGAATAAGGTCACGTGTCTGTAACCATGCAGTTTGCCATTTTATTTTAGGAAGTGATTGGTCATTAATTATCCCGAGGAAGGCGACAGTGGTCGTTGCAAATGTTTACCCTTTTGTTGGAAGAAAGTTGAGCATTGTACTACAAACTGTTTTGCGTCGAGGGCACCGGTGCTACGAAATCAAAAAGTTCGCCTGGAGCCCCGCCCCTACCATGTAACATCTGCTGCACGGCTTCTGTGGCCATCTGTGCTGCAGTCACTCCCTGTAAGGACACGATACTGGGGTCCACTCCGAAGCTCAGCAGTAGCCGGCAGGCCTGGACGTGTCCGCAGTGGGCGCCTCTGTGGAGGGCCGTCTGTCCCAGACTGTCCAGTGCATTCACCTGCAACAAGAGAGGCAAGATATATTCTTTCACACTCACTAAGTCACTCACTAAGTCACTCACTAAGTCACTCACTAAGTCACTCACAAACTCATTCACTCTCTCTTTCTGTACCGCTTCCTTTGCCTTGACAACAGTAGCTGTTTTCTTAAACGGCTTAACATTTGATGTTAGCTATTTCAGCATCAACAATTCATAACAAAAATGCCCCTGCAGTTCTAAAATTGACTGCTAGGATATCCAAAGCTACACTTCTTTTTCCCAAGATCTACCCACATACCAAATATCAAGTTATACAGAGAAAAACACAGACACAAAACAAGACACCTAAAACAATACCTCCATTTTCACGGAGGTAATAACATTGAACACTCAGTGCACTCAGGAATGACTCAAGTCTTACCTTTGCACCATGTTTCAACAGAACCTCCATCACATCTATGTAACACTTGTCTGAGGCCACATGAAGGGGTGTCAGGAACCTGAAACAGCAATGTTACAGCCTTACCAACACGTCTAACTGATAGTCAGAGGTTTAACTTCAAAACTACAGTATAGGCTTTTCACACCAAAACTGGAATCAAAAACCCCAATCTGTTTGTCCATTAAGTGCAACTATCTCCTTAAATCAATAGATGTGATTTCTTCCACTGGCAATACATATACGTGTAGTGCAAGCCTCCCTATTACTAAGTATCACAATACCTCATGCATTATATGTCTCAATAATAAACAACTAGCACAGTTCCTGTGAACCTGCTGTACTTACTCTTTGTTCTTATCGTTCAGGTTGGCGCCTTTCCTGATGAGCAGCTCCGTGATCTGTCGCCGCTTCGGGTACGGGGACAGGGCCGCACAGTGCTGGCCAATCAGAACACAGATACCATCAGTTCAAACATGTATCACAGCAGTTCATTAGTTACATATAAATCACAGTTAGTAGAATGGTGAAAAAGGCTTATCTCCAAATCTTCCACGTCCCCTGTACGTCTTGATCACAGAGTGACTTTTCATATGCCATTTGTCTCGCGTTCTCGCGAGCCTAGGTCACTCCATGATGAAAATTTGGACAAACGTCTTTCTTACCTTTTCAAAATCGTCAGTTTATTGATCTGATCATCAGTAATTTACTTACCAAAGCTGTGTCATGGGTGTACGGGTGCTTGAAGTTGACAATGTCCAGTTGAAGGTGTTTCTTCACCTTGGCCATGTCTGTCTGCCGGGCTCCGTCAAGAAGGCAGTGGCCCTTGAACTCATCTGTCAATCAAAACATGATACCCAGCAGATCATCAGTGAGCTCAATCTTTGCTAGAAATTTCTCAACCTCTACAAAACCGTATATATGGAAAACACAACTGTCAGTGTATTGAAAAACAAGAAATGGAAGATTTCAAGTATTGTTTTCTCAGATTTTCTTTATTTACTCTCTGAATTTAAGTAAGTAATATTCACTAAGGCATAGGAAAAAATGTTGTGTTTCCTGTTTCAGTCCTGAAAAAGTTAGGGTCCGTAGGTAGAGATTATCTTTTTTCCTTAGACTTTAGCAATCTCTAGTGATCCAATTTGTAATCCAACTTGAACAATACAGTTAAATAAAGTAAAACTTCCACGAGGGCACTTATATTTTCAATGTCAATGTTGGAAAATCGATTGTGCACTCAGGCTTCAGATCATGGAGTGAGAAAAGATCGATCAGCTCAAAATATCTATGACCCTTGCAGGGGTCCACCCAAAAAAAGCTAGGCTAAAAAAAAGCCTAATTTATCCAGTGGTAAAGTTTGTCTAAAAGAACTTACAGGACAGCTTCTCCTGTAGCTCAGGTGTTGAAGCCACGTCGATGGCACTCTTGGAATGACAGTTGAGCAACGTGGGGTCTGCACCATGGGACAGCAGCAGGGAACACACCTCAATTCTGTCAACACATCATGTCAGATTCTTAGTGTCTGAATGTCGATAAATACCGGGTGTACAGTGTATTCTGTACCACCCAAGGTGCCAGCCTAACACTAGTAACAGCATCTTGTCTGTACAACTCCTAAAATAACATCATCCAATCTGTTCTCAACTCTGATAGACCTCAACTCTGAGTGACCCTTCTCAGCAACCTACAGAGCCTAGTAGGCTCTCCTTTTGATTTGGCAACTTCTGACCAAGCCAGTATTAATCTTTTACTGAGGGGTTCGCCGTCTTGAAGTCAACAAAAAAATTCTGATTCTTACTCAAACTTTTATACTTAATACCCAACGATTTACAGTTGCCTAATGATTTATATTGCCATTACTCTTGTATATACGAACGCTCATTTGTTGTTTTGTCATTGTCATACCTGTATTTTGTATTCTATGTCAGGGGTGTGACTAATATTAGCTTCGGCTAGAGTTTCCACCTCTGTGTCTCTTGTACCATGTCTAGATCTTGTACTTTGTTGTTTCAATAAATAAAAGAAAGAAAAAAAAACTCAATCTTCTGCAGATTCTTCCACAATACTTAGTATCTGGGTCTGTCTGTACTCATAGTGATATTTTTAAACTGTTGTTATTATGTGTATTTCTATTTGTATTTTTTTTCTTTTATATAGGCCATGGATGCCCGAAATAAAGAATAAAGAAAGATTACCTAGATTTGGAAGCTGCCTCGTGCAGAGGAGTGAACTGCCAGAGGTCCATGGCGTTGACGCTGGCGCCGTGTTTCAGCAGCAGCTCCGTCACCTCGAAGTGCCCGTAGGAGCAGGCGTTGTGCAGCGGGACCAGCCCGCCCTTGTCCTTGGCGTGCACGTCCGCGCCGTGCTGCAGGATCAGCTGAACGATCCGCACACGGTTGTACCCCGCTGCCAGATGGAGAGGGGTGGACTGGAACAGAAATCACACTTCTTGCTCAGAAAAAACTTGTGTTTCCTGGCTGACTCTAGAAAAAATGCCGACCCTAGCCTTTTTTTGTGGATCCCTGCAAGGGACAAATTTCTGGGCTGATCGACCTTTTCTAGCTCAATGATCTGACACCAAGTGAGTGATGAAATGTTGTACAATTGATTTTCCGACATTGACTTAGTGAAAATAGAAGTATGCTCATGCAAGTTTTACTTTGTTAAACCGCATTTTATAAGTTGGATCACTGGAGATTGCCAAAGTCTAAAAAAAAAAGATACCGGTAATCCCAATCTACTGATCCTAGCTTTTTCAGGAATGAAACAGGTAACACAACCTTACCTCAGTTCGCATATAATTCATGGATAAAATACACATTCTGACTAAAATCTAAGGTCAACCATACAAGTCAATTCAAATTCATATACTGTGACACACACAACAGTTTGAACAATAGGTGTACCTTTCTCCCATCACTAGCATGACAGTTGACATTCAGTGGTGTCAGCAGGGCCATCAACTTGTCTTCATTTCCACTCCTGAAGAATACAAAAGTACCCAGTTCAAGCTTTTCTTTGTGCACAAGGACATGATTAACACTGTTTTTATTAAGATATACATGTTTATAAATGTATGTATATAAATCATGTAAAAAGAGAGAAGGCCTAGATTAGATACTCATAGAATGCATTCTCTAGTAGTTGTTAAGACTTTAACGTTATTCTTTCGACTGAAAAATGACTGATGTCACAGTGGCCTGAACATATTCTCAATTTGCAAAGTTGGACTGGAATGGTCTATTGCTGCTTCAATGAGAGTTTGGCCAGTAACAGAATAAAAAGGAGCCAGACTAACCTTGCTGCTTCCAGCAGTTCATCCTTCTTGTAATCTCCTGCAAACAGAATAAACATCAACAAGAGTTCCAAGACATCAAACCTCAGTAAAATAGAAATGCTGTAAAGTCTTATCTTTAATCATGCAAATAAGGTAAATCTTTGCCCAGTGAAGGTCTCTCCAACCCAAATTGGCAGTTATTTCTCACCTGTTAGAACAGTTTTGGCAGATGGTTCAGCCAAGTCCAAAGCTGTTTTCCCGTCTGTGTTACGAATGGAGGGATCAGCCCCATTTTGCAGCAGAACTAGGGAAAAAATGTCACTATTGTTTAGACAGCAGCATTCTTGACCTGAAATAAATATGACAAGACAAGGTCTACAAAGGCCAACATTTGTTAGCAAATACAGCATATTTCACTTCTTCTCCCTCCTCATGCATAATTGGACTGTCCCATATCAACATTTTGTACAAATGGACCATCTCCAACATAACCCCACTCCAAATAGAAAGTTTTGAGAAAAAGCAAACAAAATTAGAGCTCCACGTCCCCATACCTTTGCCAAATGATATCAAAAAGACTCTCATGAACCTGATGACATCCTTAAACGTGTTCAACTGATTCTCTAAGGAAGAATGCAAGAGTTGTTTTCTTGGCAAAGACGTCTAGATAATTCGGCAAAGCCGCATCCAAACCATTCCGGCCTAAAATGGGTTAGGGAATTTCCTGAGCAGCCAATGTAACCCCTGCTTGGCCTATTGAGTCAGTGAAGTTAAGCTTGCCTATGCTTGATGTTTCTGACTTAGGGAGAAGAGTTGCAGCTGCAGTGTGTGTTAATTGAGCAGAGCATTAACAATTATGCTCCATCAGGCTCACAAGATGCATTGATTCAGTGTACAGAATACTTTTTTGAACCAGGTTGCCTAATGGGCAACCTACGGCAAAAATTAGGTTGCCCATCAGAATTTTAGGTTGCCCCACCTGTAAGTTACTACTTTCCTCAAATTAAGTGTGTTACAATGTACATACATAAGCCTATGACAATATTTCTAACAGCCTATAGTTAACTGATACCTGTAATACTGTAATAGCCATTAATACCTAAAAATAAAAAAACATCTGATACAGTGGTGCAAGCCAAGTGGGCAAGATTTGGGGGGGGGGGGTATTCTTAAAATTCAGGTAGCACACAGTTCTGGGCTACCTAGGTTCAAAAATAGGTTACGCCAAGTAAAATTTGGTTGCCCGGGGCAACCGGGCAACCAGGTATTTTGCACGCTGTGATTAAAGGTAGTACTGACCAATGCAAACATCTATCTTCCCCTTGATGGCAGCCTCATGAAGCGGGGTGTAGTTCCAGTTGTCACGGGCGTTCGGATCGGCGCCGTTTCTCAACAAGAGGGTCACGACCTCGGCGTGTCCAAAGGAGCAGGCGTTGTGGAGCGGGATGAGCCCGCCGTCGTCGCGAGCGTGGACGTTGGCGCCGTTCTGAAGGAGGTGTTCCACAACGTCTTTCCTACCAAAACCTGCAGGTGACATCCACAAATAACTTAATCAGGTTGGTAGAACATATATTACATGTATTATAATATGGCATACTGGGACTTTCTTATACACAACCAGGTAATTTCTTCCTACCTTGCTTACGTTTCGGTGTCTATCAGATACTTTAATCTTGCTCAGAGCTTCTGACTGGAGTACTGCTTCTCAGTCTCTATATGTAGGTGGTGCTTTTGCAATGCATTGCAGCGAGATCTCAGTCCCAAATGTATCCCCCTCATCCAGGTTCATCAAAATGCTACCTATTTTGGCTACATATAGTGGCGAGAAGGATGTCTGACATGGAAACATAAGCAAAGTGAGAGAAGTGCGGTACTGGTTGCGTATAAGAAAATCCCAGTATCCCGCATCATCAAGGACAGTTTATAATCACATTATGTATTATTACAGTCACAATTATTATGAGTATATGAAGTATACTGACCATGACATTGTACAAGATGTACAATGTGCAAAAGGGAAACGTCACATTTCATATGTACAACTTAACAAAACACTTAACAAAATTCCTGTTGTTGATGTCATATCATGAAAAGTGAAAGTTTATAGCCATAGTTACAAACATCATCGCAAACTTTTACAAGCTCGCATCAGACTGGAACAAGGCATCTTTTAAAAAATATCACAAAATAATTCCTAACCCAACTTCTCCAATCCCTCATTACCCGTCAGTCGAGATTATATTAATGGCTTTTCTTCATTAGTGTAGCATAATTTGTGTGACTAAATTATATGTTTAGATTAACAAAAATTTGCATATCTGGTTTCTCCCAAGATTATTTTCAATCACAAACAAGATTGGGGTGAATATATACGTTTTGTACTATTGTCAGTAGTGAAAATCATGCAAATAACGTACGAATTCCAAGCTAGAACACCATTTACTTTCCGAAAAACATGTCGGGACTTCCCGGGACTTTCACCAAAGGCGTCTAGTCTGTAAAAATTATTTATGCCTTTTTTTTGGCACACAATCTGACAATCGTACAGCTACATGTATCGCCCAGAATCGCTAACGAATATACTGTTGCTGAAAAACTACCCCCAGATTTTCCCCCAAAGTCTTGCAACATCCCGAATAGCGAAGTTTGTCTTCACGAGACGACTAACAAACCCAAGGCTTCATGGAGGATCCTTCAGTCTCAAACCAAACCAAACCAAAACACACACAACGCTACTACCTGCGGCGAAATGGAGCGGCGTAGACTTCCTCCCGGCCGTATCCCGGGCGTTCACGTTCTGTGGGGTGATGAGCTTCTTCACCCTGGCCACGTCGCCGTTCCTGCAAGCTTCAAACAGTTCTCTACAGCCGCTACTTTCGTCGCAATGTATTCGATCACTACTCAACATCGCTCTTCTTCCTGCCATCTTTCTTTCACAGCTGCCCGCTACGACTCCACACCTCCTAAATAAACCTACTTGATAAGAATACTTCTAAATAGATCAAAATGAATGAATTGCTTACACTTAAAAGATAACTTATAACGTTATTTAAGATTTCAAGAAGATATTTTAATTCTTTTAATCATTTCGGTCATAATTCTGTATCCAATGTGAAACATCTCTAAAGTCATCGGGTACATACTTTGAACCGTGTATGGGGTCTTCCAAGCCGCGCTCGTTGCTAAAATCTCACGAGATCTTCCAAACGCGCAATGCATTGTTGTAAAATGGCGGCAAATTTTACAAGGTTTCTTGTTCCTTGCTGAATAATTTGGTAATAAAACAAACTTTCTGTTGGTATTTGCTAATATTGGTACTTGACAATGGACGACCTGGACATAGAAGAGGCCAGTGATGAGGAGGTGGAACAGATGACAGCGGCTGAAGCTCTAGCCATGGTAGAAAAGGTACAGTCTCCTGGCATCTGGATTTTCTCCCTCTCTCTCTGTCTCTCTCTCTCTCTCTCTCTCTCTCTCTCTCTCTCTCTCTCTCTATATATATATATATATATATATTATATATATATATACTTTATATATAGGAATCCAATCTTAGCTTTAGTCAGCTTGCAACAAACAATACCCAGCCAGCTTAAGCTTGTGCAACCCCATTCACACCCCCAAAATACATTTGTATGATGATTTGGTTTGAGCATCAAATCTTTTCAGAGTACATAAAAGTTATAAAACCGCTTAATTTTGCAACTCTATGAATGCTCCAAATGGGGGCCGCATGCCCTTTTCCGAAGAGCATAATCAGCTGTTTTAATTCAAGGTAGAGCGTAATTGGCGAATTTTGCGTAGAGCGTAATTTTCTGTTTTATTCTACGTAATGCGTTGTAGCCACTTGGAATTTATCGTAAAGCGTAGTTGAAAGGTTTCCAGAATTCAGCGTAGTACGTAGCTGGCTCCCAAAATTTAGCGTAGAGCGTTGTGGGGACCCCCCATGCAGGCCCTCACAAATCGCATCTAGTATACTAGTATTATGCAGTGTACATGAAATAAGGACCTCATGTGATGCTATGGATACATTGTCTATCAAATAAAATGTGTGCAGTACTATCCTTTTTTTTTTTATTACGCTAATATTACGCTCAAATGGAATGGCAAGTGGAATCGCAGCCTACATCTTTTTGGCATATGTTAATCCCCACAAATTATCGGCCTTTTCACAACGGGTAAACATGCATATATAATACAGTTCACATTGGTGTCCTCTGCATTTCTGCTAAGGTAACTCGATATACACAGTAGTTTTTGCATTCCTTTCTTTCTTTCTTTGCCCAATTAACGCTGCAATGAGTCACGGTGGCATTCAAGATGCAGGCTCTAATGTTTCAAAAGGTTTGAATGTGGACAGGATGTTCGTTATGCTTGGCAGGTGGTTGGCACTCAAGTTTGACTTAAATTTAATTCAAATTCGGTTTGATTCAAACAGAAAGGTCTACTACGTCTAGGCACGGTCTAAATATGGTCATCACCAGATTGACCCCTTCTAATTTCAGTCAACCTTGGTCGGCTGGTGTTAAGGGGAAGGCTCTGATTCTGAATCTGAGTGACAGGCTTTGATTTCCATAGTCATAGCTGACCTATACAACTGTAGTTATAGCAGGTTGCTGCTCTTTGTTTACTGCTGCCTCTCCAGGCTTGGCTGAATGAAAAGTTCTCCCCCGAGCTGTTAGCACACAAACAGGACCTGGTGGACGTCATGTTGGACCAGCTCAATGATATGGTGGGTACTTATCTACTTTAATTATCGTTCACCCAGCTCTATCCTAAGATACTACCTGGTACATACAAACACAAACATGACAACACACACTTCTTTGTGGCAGAAATCGGGGGCAAGGTGCCAGGTCTTCAGTGCTACCCATTTCCATCTCTCTTTGACATGCTTACATTTGTGAGATGGGGGGTTTTGTGCTGACTTCCAGCACAAATTTCGCCCCACACACCTCACAATCCAAACCAATCCAACCATTCCATATCTACAACTAGACCTAGGGCATTTCCCATCCTAGGTCCGACCTAAGGCATTTCCCATCTTAAGTCCAAGGCTTGTAACCGCCCATCACACAGGGTTATGGTTACGCCCCAGATCAGCCCTGCCGCGGGCGACCCTCATAGCAAACTAGTCGGGCACCATAGGAAGTCCCTTCTCATTCAAGAGAACATCCCGACATTAGGTATGCGACACTGATCCGGGACCCTTGTGAACATGTGGAGCTCTCTGTCTCCTCTACTTATGGAAAGGTTTCTTTCAAACTCAATGCTGGTAGCACTGAATGGCCCATACACCCATTCCCAGTTTTATTGAAAAAAGGGTTGGACCTTGCTTCTAATTTCCGAGTACAGTCAAACCTGCCCATGCGACCACCTTGTCAAGACGACCTACTGGCCAAATAGACCGGTTTTCTCCGGTCCCGAAAATATTTTCCCATAGGCACAAGCATTAAGCACTCTGCCCAAGTAGACCACCTTCCTGACGCGACCGCGGCCAGCTCGAGTCGGGACCACGCGCGACCAAAACCTTCCCATGACGACCGCATCATTTTCAAAGTGTGTCTATATCGATTTTTAATAAAAACTTTTGGGGATTTATGGGGAGAATCGGCCTGTTTACGTTGTGTTTTGCCCGGCCGAGCGATTCAAGATGGCGCCGGGGGTCACGATGTTGGGTCATTGGAACAGACTACTGTAATATGGGTGAAAACTTGACGTGCGGTTTGATTCTACTGTACAATCTACCGTACAAAATGTAAATTTATTTGTCGCCGACGATGTTTAAATAAAAGAAAATTATATTTACTAATATTGACTTGAGGGCTAAAAGTTTTTGGAGTTTAAGGTGTTTTTATTCTTTATTCAACTAGCTGCTCACCCATGATGCTGGTGAAATATCCCAAGTGGAGAATCTTGTAAACAAGTCACACAAGCTTCGAGAAAGATCGGTTTAATTGTACCAAAGAAGCGTCTCGGAAAATTACAAACGTCGGGACGTCATAATTAACTTGAAGAAAAAGTCTGGTCGACAACTGGTCTGGTGAACGATTCATACAGACCGTGGGGATTTTAACAATTTCAAGCCGCTGCATGCGGCACGCCATGCTACGAAAGACCATAGGAACAAAACGTAAAACAGACGACAAGCTTAAACAGACAACGAGCTTAAACAGACGACGAGCTAAAACAGACGACGGGCTTGCTTAAACGGACAACGGGCTGGCTGAAACAGACGACGAGCTTGCTGAAACAGACGACGAGCTTGCTGAAACAGACGACGAGCTAAAACAGACGACGAGCTAGCTGAAACAGACGACGAGCTGAAACAGACGACGAGCTAAAACAGACGACGAGCTGAAACAGACGACGAGCTTGCTGAAACAGACGACGAGCTGGCTGAAACAGGCGACGAGCTGAAACAGACGACGAGCTAGCTGAAACAGACGACGAGTTGAAACAGACGACGAGCTAAAACAGGCGACGAGCTTAAACAGACGACGCGCTTGCTGAAACAGACGACGAGCTGGCTGAAACACACGACGAGCTGAAACAGACGACGAGCTAGCTGAAACAGCGAAGGAGCGACGCTCCCGCTCCACTTGAGGCTGGAAACCCTGGCTCGTTGTATAGTGTACGGTCCCTTCTGAGTGACACCAGATGTTGTCTATGGCCCTGTTCAGACGGAATCAGTGAAAGCGCCTTACATGTGTTGATGATATGAATGTTAGACATGCATCCAGGTAAACAATACTCATAGGAAATTCAAACTCCTACTACTGGATAAGTTATGGAGATAATATCCGGACGTTTCAAGTGACATCCACACTCTTCTTCAGCGTCACTAAAGAACTAACGTTAACCTTGTCCGAGGGCTAATCGCATACAGACATTGACAAGAAAAATGTGGTGATTTGCTAACATGAACTTCTACGTGTACGATATACTTATCGAACCTACTATCTCTACTTAAATCTAATAACGTAGGTTTACATACAGGATAAAAAAGTAAATATGCAATATGAGAACAGGTAATGCGTAGGAACAAGGTAACTGATATTCTAATCCGTTCTGTTCTATTAAACTATTCTTGTCATGCTATTAGGGGGTTTGACTTCTTCTCAGGAGGCAGTGGGAGATGAATTGTCGGACTTTTTGAAAAAATATATGGGTTGGGAGTTAAAACAGAACACGATAGCACAATTGAGCTACTCTCCACTTCTAAACAGCCGTCACCATCTTCCTGCTATAAAACCCATCTGGGGTCGTTCGGTTTATGGCACCTTCGGGGTGCCCATCAAAGAATGACACTCTTTTGTCTGTCATTATAACACTTTTCACATCGAGTTGAAAAATGTGCTTGCCTACCTGGCTGTCTGTTTACGTGTACGTGTACGTGCGCTCGCGCCTTATTGGTCAAGTACTGATGACGTAAGAGGTAATGCTTCCAAGAACTTGTGACCAACGACAGCGTGGTATTAGCGTCACGTGTTTAGTCTCTCCTGGGGCACCCAGCGGAGACTACCCAGCGGGCGGATCTTCATCTGGCGAACGTAGTTGTCCACGGATCGGGCCCAACTTTTTATTCCGAGCCACCTTTGTGAGTCATCGTCTTTGGGCGGCAACTTATCAAGCGAATTCGGAAGCAACATTTCAAGTGCCATACATCAATCGGTAAGTTCACAAATTTTTAAACCCATCTGTCACTGTTTTTCGTTGGTATGGATGGTCTATAATTTTAGTTTCATGAAGGAGTGCTTTCATGGGATAACTTAATTTTTGTGTTTACATACCATAGGCATCATTTTTGTTCGTTTTAGGTCCTTCGATGTGAGCCTGTGTATAAAATGGATGTGAACATGCTAAGACGTTGTGGTAGCGTAGTGTTTTGTTTTGTTTTGCTTTGCTTTGTTTTGTTTAATCAGAAGGGGAGGGGGGCATTCACTGCATGTGGCGTGTCGGGGTTTCCGGAAAAGCTGGGCTGGGCCTTTTAACTGGGCTACCTAGCAGGGCTACTCATTTTCGGCCCCAAGGCACGAAGGGTGTGCACGGGTGTTTGTCGCTAAGAAATATACCTGCTAAGTGTGTCATGTTCATAATGAATTTGATGTTAAAAGTACTCAAAGCTTAACTTTATATATAGTTTGTCAGTCAGTCCTGCAATTCTGATTTGTTCATTTTTAGGAGTAGGAAATTCTGCAGGCTTTTTGGAGGCGCAACTTAAAAAGTAAGTGGTATTTGTGTCATAATAGATTGTTCTATTGGGTCATTATAGGTTTAGATCTATCAGGTAGCACCTTGCAATACTCAGGATAGCTAAATATTATATACAATGCAGTTAACTGTCTTGCTTCTGGCCTTTATTACTTATTGGTCCACACCAATTTAATTCTTTGCTTCTCAGATTTTTTTCAGAAAAAAAAAATGAAGTGACCAGGGAAAAAAAATAATAAAAATAAAAACAGGTCTGGCCATCCTATGACAGCCCTAAATGTTACGATGCGAGCTATGAAGTCAACACAGAAGATTGGGTCAATATTTAAACAATGAATTTTGAACTTTTAATCAAACCACTGCATTGATAGATGGAATAACTGTAACAAGAAGGAAGAAAAAGACTTTCGTAAACTGTTGGGGGCAAAATATGAGCATTTTTGACCTGATTCAGAGCCTTTTTTTTTATTTATTGCAAATCAGAAAAAAAAGGAAGAGGCAAATCCGAGAACCAACAAATTAAACTGGTGTGGCCTTAAGACATAAAAACATGCAAACCCCAATAAGCAAAATGATGGGTTTCTATAGATTTGCTATATGATTTGAAGTATGCTTATTCCACATTGTTAATTTTTTCATTTCATTAGTGCAATCAAGTGGAGTTACATTCTGTTAGACTGAACTGCCAAAGAAGTGGAGTTATGAACAGACATGCTGTTGGGCCTCTACATCCCTTCCCCCGTCAGTTTGACACTGGTGAGAAATTCAGTTTGGACGTGTGCTTTCAACATTCTTGTATGTCAGCATTTAATAGAGTTAACACATATATATTTTTAAGAGGATCATTTGTGACTGTGTACAAAGTTTAAAAATACATGTAGGTTATAATCACTTGCATCAAGAAGGATATATGTATTTAGTATTGGTTAGCATTTGACAAAGAAATCACAGAACTCAGTCCTGTTTGTATTTTCTTTCAGTTGATGAGCTTCTAGAGTACTACTGGAGGAGAGGGTACCAATATGCTGAAATATCACAACTGCTGTTGAGAGTTCACAACATTAACCTTAAGTAGGTGTCATTTTTGTACTATCAGATGAAATGTTGTGCACCTTGATTTCCTTGATCTGGGTTAGTTGAGAGGAACCACCACAGAGCATCCCTCAATGACAGACCCCATTCTCCACATTTCCCGAATCTTCATCAGCAAAGTCAAGCCATGACAACGTGTGCCCCTTGATGATTTTATGCTTTTTAATAATGATTTTTGGTAAGGTTTCAAAATTTGCATTCATAGTAGGCGAGGTAAGATGGTAACGCATAGCAGTATGTCTAAAATGTTTGATCTATTTTTCCATAGCACTGCTGTTGTAATATTGACCTGTAAGGTGTGAAATATCTTCTGTTATCATTTTTGGCTATGCTAGATAAGCATTATTATGTTTTCTTATCTTAACATTTTTGTACAGCGTGAGGCAGATCAAGTACAGATTCAAGAAGTTGGGATTGTTGAGGTATGGTGGCGCTGACCCTGATGATGCTGTGCGCAGGGCAATTCAGGTAAGAATCAAAGAAAAGCACAGTGGTTCATTTAATGTCTTCAAGTTGGTCCTTTGGTACAGAATCTAAGAGCCATTGGAATTGAACTTAAATTCAAAGCAACTGCATAAATATTAATCTCGCTTCAATCTCATTCTGTGGATGACAGTCTTCTGCAGCAGATTTTGGATGCAGGAATGTTAGTTATCATTGTGTGAAACTTTTATGTGTTCTTATGAAGGCAAAAACACTTTATGGAAATTGTAAAATTGTATGAACTTTCAAACTACCTTTTTTCTATCGTCATTTGTGTTTTAAAGTAAGGTCTGAATCATTACTACATATTAGACCAACATAAAACATGCACATTGATGTTGAACCATCCTCTTGTCCCTCTTTTATTTTCTTCAGGAAGAGCTGCAGGGACCCAACAAGCATTATGGGTACAGAAGAATGCATAGGTGCCTGGTCAGAGACCATGGTTTAAACGTCAGAAGGTGACTAATTTTTATTTTAAGTCGTGTTTCAAAAATTAATTTTGACATGTGGCTTTGATAAGTTTAATGATTTAGTTCATAACTGTAAATCAGACTTGATGTTCCATTCTTTGGCTTTTTAGGATAACTGTGCAACATATCCTGAGAGAGGAGGACCCAGAGGGGTCTGAACAAAGGAGACGACGTCGTCTTTCCCGGAGACAATACTTTAGCTTGGTATGAACAATTTTTACTTTAAATAAATGTTACATTTCTCTGACCAAACATTAAAAAATTGATGGTACACAATGTATGTAAATTATCTTTGTTTCTTTGTATTTCTACACAAATATGAATGTGCAACAAATGAAGACTGTCTTTTTGGTTTTTAATGTTAAATGGAATGCATTACATGTTGTTTTTGTGAATTTAGCCTCTTAGAAATATTATCCCATTTAATTTAGTCTCTACAGTACAATTTTTCATTTGTATTTCAGGGCCCAAATATGACCTGGCATATAGATGGGTATGTACATGCTGTATTCAACAGTAACATTCATGAGGCTCTTATCTCCTTACAGTAACATTATATTTGCTGTGTAGTATGTAACTTGTTATGGCTTCAACACAAAGTGGTGAAGACATGTAATTTCTCTCATGTTTCTCCTTCTTCTTCTCCTCCTGCCATTTCTTTAAATGGATTCATCTCTGCCATTTTTGGGCTAAATAACACAAAATTTGTCATGAAGGTAGAGTGGGCAAATACCCTGACCCACTTTTTTTTCATTTTTTTGAAAAATTGTTTTATTTGTTTTTTTTGGCCATTTTCAGGCAAAAAAAAATACATTTTGGGATCTGGAGCCCTGGTACTAAACCCAAATGACTTGACATTTGGTATGGTGATACCTTTGACATATGTCTACAAAACCTCATTCAAGCTTTTGACATACAGTACATGAAAAATAGGGCTTTTGGGCTATTTTTGGACCAGAAATGTACATTTTTAGCTCCTGTGCCGAATGACCTGAAATTTGGTATGGGGATACCTTGGACACATGTCCAAAGAATATCATTCACGCTTTTGACATACACTACTTTAAAATTGTTTAAAATAGGACTTTTTGGCTATTTTTAACAAACAAATTTACATTTTTGGCTCTTGGGCCCTAATATTAAATCCAATTGACCTGAAAGTCGGTGGGGATAAATTGGTCACATGTCCAAAGAATGTCCTTCACGCTTTTGTCATACACCTGTTCCATCATAGGTTTGGTGTTCGTCATCTCGTAAATGCTACAGCATGATGTGGTAGCACGAGATTGCAAATGAATTGATTTTAATTTCTTCTCTCTAGAAGACTGTTTCTACATGTTCCAAAAGATAAGGCATTGGGAGATTCCATTGCTGCATGGGGGTATAGACTATTGGCAGCCATCATGGGATGGATCCATTTTTGGTATGGGAGATGGGGTGAAGCCATCTGCTGCATTTGCTCCTGAGCAAATGTCGGCCTTTCTAGTATTAATAAGTTGTCTTTGTTGTATGAAACATGTGGTCAAACTCATTTGCAGAAACGACAAACTGAGACCATATGGCTTTTGCATTCATGGCTGCATCGATGGGTATGTATGTTTTATTTTGATCCTACTTATGTATGTGTAGCAGTTTTTTTTAGATCTGATTGTTGACTGTTGATTTAGCACCATTTTATTTCCTTTTTTAGCATCTATCTCTCAACAGTTGTTATATATTAGCTTAACTTTTGATTGACAGATTTCTTGAATGTATGAACAACAAATTATTTGAAAAGGATATATATGTGTTACAAATTGTTTGCCTTGGCAGTAATTTATCTTACATTAACATATGCCAAGAAAGTTATGTCCCCACGATAACCTGAGAAGTCTTGATGTTTTGTAGGTGGGTAGGTCTTGATAGAACCTCAAAATGATTAGATTTTTGGGTCCCATGGCAGCTTGTAAGATACTGTAGCAGAAATTCCACTTTACGAGTTTCCTCGTACAGAGACCTGGCAAACTCAGCCATGCCAGAATGATCAACATGTTCAAAAACATGCTGGGGTCACTATTTTAGTAAATGACAATGGGGTTGGGCCCCATAGCAGCTTGTTTTAGAATTGCAGGAGCATTTGTTTAAAAATTCTTGAGGGAGGATAACTCAAGAACCTGTCCTGATTTTTGGTATGTACGTAGCTCAAGTGATGCTTGAAATTCTATCAATCTGCTAACTGCAATGACTATTCAAACTTGTTACACATGTAATTGAGAACATCGCCATATTAGAATCTACATCTTTTGCATACACCCGTATACAAATTTGTATTAAAATGGTACGTAGTAAACCTTATGGACATCACTGCACTTTTGTTGTGTCAATTATTTTGTCGTATGAATTATGTAAATGAAGTCCTTATTTGCATAATATATGAGGAAATGCTAGAATAGTATTCTTTGTCATTGAATGGAGAATATCATAATTTAATTTGATTCATGCAAATCAGGATCTTGTTTGTATAATCAGTGAGGAACACTAGAAGAAAGAAAAGAATTTGTCAGTTATCTTTTAAAGCTAACATCATTTTCTTTATATATACTGTAGTTACAGCAGGCGCATCTTATGGTTGAAAGTTGGGCCAACCAACAAATGTCCTAAGGTGGTTGCTGGATTCTACCTTGATACTGTATGCCAGCTAGGAGGTGAGACAGTCTTTGTTCGGTTTAATTTGCTTATATCGAGGACATTATACAGAAGTGTATAATGTCCTTGCTTATATGATGTTACCATTGGTCTATTGCTGTATTTGCCCCAAGCTGCAATAGTCTATTAGTACTATATAAACTTTAAGCAGTTTTGATACTAGAAAGGCCAACATTTGCTTGGGAGCAAATACAGCATATTTCAGTCCATCTGAATTCCCACGCAAAAGTGGACTATTACAAACTTACCGCAGTGCAAAACTGAAAGATTCTCAAATAAATAAATCATATAACTATGTAATATTATAGAGTCTGACCTAGGTGATCTCCCCAGAAATTTAGAGCAGGGTGGGGGAGGATGTGCATCCTTAAATTTTGACAAAAATTGGGCATAACGGTGCTTCCACAAGTTCAACACGTGAAAAAAACATGATACAAACTGTACCTGCATGTTCTACCTGGAACTTGGAGCAAGTATTCCAAAGGTGTTACTGTCAAAAAAAGTTAGTACCGACCCATTTCCCAAAGTCACATATTAACACTACCGAACCACTCTAGTGTGTCGGCCATTTTGTTTCCACACTTGAATGTGTCCCCAGCTGTTTTTACGAACAAATTTCAACCGACTGTTAAACATTTTACGGCTGCAGAACTCATACAACGCGGGAAATACGTTATTCTATGTGTGATATTTCTTCAGGGAATGACCGGTTTTTCCGTAGCGCTGCTGATACAAGCGAAGCTTCACCACGCGGTCTGGGGACTTTTTTTTGGAATTGACGAATGTAAACAGAGACAGTCTGGGTGCGGAGTTGATTACGTAAAAATTCTCTTGTCAAATGGAACAGGCCATTCTTTAGATCGAATGTGGAATGTGTATGGGGCTTTGGGCCCTTTTTTTGTGTGAAAATAGCCTTTAAAGTCCCCCAAATGAGTGATTTTGGAAGTTATGTATGCCAAATATGTAACTGCTATTTTGTAGACACATGTTCAAGGTACCCTTATACCGAATTTCAGATCATTTGCATGGTTGTAATACCAAGGCTCAGGATCCAAAAATCCAATTTTCGTCGAAAAATGCACCAAAAAAGCTTCATAAAATTTTTTCAAAGGCATGTTTAAAAAAAAGGAACACAATATATTTCCTCCATACCATGTGGTATGGACTGAAATATAACTAAATGATTGAGCCAGGTAATCTCTCACATACATTCTAGATTATCAATCAGATTATTCTATTCTTTATACCATAGAATTTGAACATACCAGCATGGCATAATAATGCATTGGCGTTGTATTGTCTGCCTTGAGTTTGAATCCCGTTTTATATTAAAGTACATGTATTATTTGCCATTTATTATAGGCTGCCCATTAGTGGTAAGAAGTGATCCGGGCTCAGAAAATGTTGTTGTTGCTGCCATCCAGGGCACATTTCGTGCCACTGGTGATGATGAATATTCCGGCCCCAGAAGCCACCAGTATGGGAAATCTGTCCATAACCAGGTATAGATTTTTTTCTGTAACGTTTGATGTAAATGTTGGATTTCTCATAATCAGAGATCAAATCATTCCCATTGCTGTTAACACTTGGCATTATACACGTAGAAGAGAAGTCGTAGAAGACAAAATTACTTTCATTTAGTTTTCTCATAGCGCTGAGCTGTGGGTGCATAAAACGTGTGATATGCCAGTACATGTATATAGTTCTCATGTACAGATAGCCATAGTTGTTTGTTGACAGGTGTTCAGAACCCGTGGACACACCGTATTTCTGTTTGCGAGATACAAGATACAATCTTTCTCCTGTGAGACTCTTGCAGTTGTCCTGCAAATCATGTATTACTAAGCTATCCCACATAATCCTGCAAGCTCTCTCTCATATGAAACTCTGTATTGTGTACATGATTGATATTGTCATTTCTCATTGTTTGCATTTTTATGATTGCAGCGAATCGAAGCATTTTGGTCACATCTCAAGCCAAAACTGGTGTTTTGGATACAAGTTTTCCAGGTAACCATGTGTATTCAGTAGTATAGGCCATTCCTTTTTAACATGCAATTATCTTTTATTATGACTGATGAAAAATTTTGCACATGGTAATTTTACCCCTTCTTTGATTTAAATTTTTCTTAGGGCTTGGTTGACGATGGAGACCTGGAACTTGGAAATAGCATTCACACGTGAGTATTTTCTAAATGTTACTTATAGTACTTAGATCTAGGGTCGGGTTAGTATGCCTCACATGACTTGTAAATAATATGATTCAAAACTCAGTACAGATTTAAGATGCATGATATTGAGTATGATGTTGATACCATCATCATTTGCAGCTGGTGTCTCCAGTTTTGCTTCATGCCCATTGTGGCAAGAGATCTGAACAGCTTTGCAGAAGACTGGAATGACAGGAGAATCCCACCACATCACAGCGCATCAGTGCCTGCAGGACGACCAAATATACTGCACTTCCTACCAGAGCAGACAGGTACCACTAAATTACCTTACACGATTTGTTTTATGCAGCTAGTACAATCACAGAATGATGTAAACTGGAGTCTAAACACAGACCTCCATAACACAGAAACATGGCTAGAATCCAGCAAACTTACACTGAAATACAAGAGCAATACAAGAGCAATGCAAGAGCAATGCAATGCTCTTTGGCACTAGCAGCCCAAAAAAACAAAGCAGGAGAAAGCAGCGTCTTGGTAAAGATAAAGTAACAGCTACTCTTTCCAGCACATGTTTGTAAGTTGTTTTGAACTTTAAATATCTCGGTGTCTGGCTCGACTTGTGCCTAACGTGGCAAGACCATATAGACAACCTGTGCAAATCTGTATTAGCTTGACTGGGTGTTTTGAGGTGTCTACCACAGCATATTCTAACAATGTTATTCAATATTATCATTCTGTCCAAAATAGATTTTTGTGAGGAAGTCTGGGGTAAGTTTGGTAAACGTCTTTCAGATAAGCTACAAAAAGTACACAACTGGTTGGCAATGATGCATTCTCTAAGTCTGTTTTGGAAAGCCCTAACAACTAGACGTAAGGAACACCTGTCACATAATGGTATATCAGTCTGTAAACCTACAACTGCCAGAATATCTCCAGATCTTTCACAGGGTAGCTGAGTCTCATCACTACCCAAGCCATCATAGTTTAAGCCAGTTGTTAAAGCTACCGGAAGTTTGTGTGTTACGCCTACATGATCCAATGTATTATTTATGCTTTTGTAGTCTGTACAAACTTAAAGAACGGTATCACATCTTATGAATCTGATAATTCCCGTGTAAGGGGAAGGGGTCAACACAAATAATTATATACATCCAAATCCAAATTTAAACCTTCAGCCCCCTTCCGTCCCTATGAGCTGTTTGATGGTGCCAGAAGTAGGTGATTGCAAATTCGTGCCCGAGGGCTATTTGCATAACTATACATACATGTAACATAAGGAATAAAGGGCTACAAAGATGACATAGTATGATCCAGTCTACTAGCAAGTCGTAACTTATTGGGTTCGACTTTTTCATCTGAGACGTACAGTGGAAGACAAAGGACCCCACTTTTTCTATGTGGGATTTGTGATGTTAATAGTTGAATGGTTTTACTTTTGTCTCTGAATTTGGAGAAATTATGATGTAATTTCTTGGCCGCCTTTCAATTTGGGACATAACATCAGGAAAATATGGAGGCAGCCTGATTTTTTCCTTGGCAGTTGTTGTAACTCATGACAATTTTTTATGTATCATCCTTGTTTCCTTGACATAAACATTGTGTGGAAATTTCTTCTGCTTCCTAAACCAGGAGGTCGAGATATGCTGCAGGTTGTTCCCGGTGGGATGCTGCGGGCAGCAAGATGTCATTGCAAGCCATACAGTATGGTTGGAAATGAGAGTTTCCAGAGGTACGCAGGAGAGATGCTGACTAGAATGGACAGAACAACTCCAAACAGCATCATTGAAGCACTTGACTTGTACAGAGAACTTGTGGTAATAGCAACTGCAATGTAAAGTCTATGCCGGTGCCATAAATGTAAATAACACATGAAATAAGATACAACTAAGTTGTCATTTCACCTGGTAATAGAGTCACATTGTAACTATTTATGGCAAATGCTGTAGCTGATTTATGGATTCCATGTAGAAACCCACAGGAAACTGTTACAACCATATAATAGTGTTATGGATTCTCATTTCTTTAACTTCTAAAAAATATAACACAGCTTATATATCTTCATGTGCTTTTTGATTGATACTGAATTAGAAAATTTATAACAGAGTGGCAATGTAATTCCGAACATTAATCATGTAGCAGGTGATGAGAGACCTTTGCATAATGAGAAATAGGTCAGAGGTCAGTCCCTATGGACGCCCATCCCTTCCGAGGTCTCAGCGACAACCATCCGTTTTTGACTTTCAAAGCTCCTTTCTGAACATTTTTGTCAGCCAAACCAAAACAATTAAGTATCTTGATGCTCTTTCTACCCTTACTGGTTATAACCTACACGATTGACTATCCAAAGTACAAGAAAATTTAACGAGATTATTGCTGGGAGAAGCTGGTAGGGAGGGCGCCCTCTCAATCAGCGTATGGTAAGCTAGAACCAAGTAACATACAATTTTGTCATCTTTTCTTGTGTATGAAAATATTGTTCTTAGCTGAGACTGTCGAATAAAATGTATAAGTATTATGTAATTTTATTCAGTTTGCCTATTATTCACGTTATAAGCCTTTGAATAATCCAGAAAATCGAAACACGGTACGGCAAGTTAGCTCTATTTGAGCATCGCCTTGTAAAATTGTTCACTAAAATTGTTCACTATCGTTCCTCCTCATGATGTGAAAGCATGGGGATTGACTTGTGTATATATCGAATCAGAATCCGCACTTTTAGACCAATTTCTAAACAAATGGCGGGAAAACGAGAGGTAAAGTACCGGCAGGCCTGTTTTGCACAACAACAATGGCAACTCTTGTTAGTACTCACCTGCTGCGTAACTACAGACTGGAATGACTGGAATCACTCAGTATCAACCAACCCCAGACTTAACTCAGCACCATGATGTACACGGCTAATTCTGGGCCCGATATTTTTTTATTGTTACTCAGTACGGAAGGGCTTGATGACAATCGCTCATCTCAATGCTAGAAGTTTGTTACCCAAGTTACACGAGCTCAGATCCCTTTCATCCACACTGAATATTGACTTGTTTTGTATACATTTAGGTGAAACCTGGTTAAGTAGTGAAATCAAAGACTGCGATCTTGAAGTAGAAGGTTACAATTTGTACCGTAAAGATAGGAATCGACACGGAGGTGTAACGATTTACGTAAGTGACCTTTTGTATAGCAATAGGCATAGCAACTTAGAAAACGATGATGTTGAATCTGAAATTATAAAATTCCATGTAAACATTCCAGTTAATTGCACGTACCGACCACCTTTGTCATACAACGTGCATCCTGAGTGTATTAAATGACAAGACTTGACAACCAATGTCAGACTGAAAGTTCATTTAATAAACTTAATGTTACAATTCATGCAATAAAAGTTTATATAATAAACATTTCATGAACGGTAATTAGATATGAGTAACAGAATAAAACACAAATTTCCAGTTACTAAAACTATTACTACTAACTGAAGATCAATACAAACTTCATCTTGTACAGAGAACTGTTGAACAGGCAAGCAAGTATTTCAGACCTACAATGTAGATGTGCACCTGGTAACAACATAGAAAGGATCGAAAACTCTACTCAATGTCATATTCTAAAATCAAGAAAGCACAAACTTCCAGTTACTAAAACTATTATTATATAACTACTAACCGACATTACTATGCTCTCCCAAAGCACTTCCCACTGATGATGGATTCTTCCATTGCATTGGAGAACTCATCACTAGATAGGTTAGCCATGTGCAATGGTAGAGTTAGGCAAAAGGAACAGGTGTTGGCTACAGGTAGGCACCTGCAGCCAACTGGACACTCTGCAGCAAATGCGACCATTGGCTCCATGGGCCACCCTGTTGGTGGCTCAGCATCCAGTGCAGTGAAAAACTGCAGGAACTCTCCAAGGGTCACACGAGTTGAGCCTGAATGGATAGAAGACAAGATACCACGTGTAAATCAGGCTGATTACAGCACCTTTGAACAAGTGATAACTTCAACTATTCAAAAATATAAATAGGAAACATTTCATCATTCACTACAATTTCCAATCAGCAATTAGAACGATTTCGCCTGGTCAGAGTACGTCTTTTACATGTTTTAAAAGAATCTATAGATAGTTAATATCTATAGTTATCTATAAATACTTAGACAGATTCATACTGCGAAGGATCATAATATAAATTTTGCAATAATTTTGTGAACAAATTTGCTGTAAGATATAAACAAACACATCAGGCAATAAGTAAAAAACTTCAACTCTCTGTACCAGATTGTTTTTTTTTTCAATAGATTTTTTCTGTCAGCAAATTTCCAATATCAATGAAAGGTGTGCTTTTTAAATCAATAAGATCCCGCATTCCTCTGATGTGCACTTTCTTTATTTTGAGTACATGTATTTCCGTCATTAATGTACAATTCAAGAAGGACTGTCTTTTTGTTGCACGCAGGACTTGTGGGTACTTACATTGTAACTAGATGCAGTATCTTCTATTGGAGAATAACACCCACTTATGGTATTTGGTGCTTCTTTAAAGCACCAACACAGAATGAAAACCTGACTAACCTGACTCAACATCGTCCATCCATGAGCAGAGCTTGTCAAACACATCTTTCTGCACATTCTTTCTGCTCGACCCTTCAGCCGAAAACTTGCACACCATCATGTCGATGATGTTGGTGGCAGTTGTCTTCTTTGTCGACTTACACAGAAGCTCTGCAAGGAGTTGAGGCTCGGCCTCCAAGGCTTTCCTGAGCCCCAGCAGGTCCAGCCCTTGTTTTAGGTGTTCAATCGCGGCCTAAGTAGAGAGTTGTGGAAAAGGGAATTTTGCACATCACATGGACTATCAAAGTGTTCACATACACTAATATTACTTGTAATGGATCTCAGAGACTTGTTATAAGATATGTCGATTACGTGTTGGCAATGGAAGGTACAAGAGGTCAGATCCAGGTCAAAACTGACATAATTCATCATGATTAGGGCTGGGAACAAGTACATATACCTTTTTGAGCAAGAAAGATTTGATTGACCAAAGTTTAATCTCTAAACTTAACCGGTAGTACCCTGTCAAATTTCCATGCATAAAATCTCACAAAAGAAATTGTGTACTATAGTTACCTTCCTGGATATTACAAGGTCCTGCAGACACAGGGCTTTCCGCAGAGTTGGTATGTCAGCAAGGGTCGTACTTCCCGCAGTCTTGTGCCACCCTGCCATGCTTGTGATGTTGAGTCCTTCGTCAGACTCAAGTATGTCTTTCAACGACCCCTCGGTTGCACTTTCAAGCTGCATCAAAAACACATTCAACAATCACCTACTATAAATTGTGCAAGTGAAACCTTTATTAAGAAAACGCTGGCAAAATTTGAAGTGATAAAAGGTGGCACATTTTTTGTATTGTATGCCAATTCATGCTGTTATTGGAATGAAAATGTACTTAAATTTTAAATACAGCACAAAAAAATCAGACAACTTGAAGCCATTCATTCCTTGTGTTACTTGAAGATATCATTCATCATTGAAAATATTATTCAGTGATATAACCCTTTACATGTATGTCATTGGCCTTCTCAATTTATGCTGTTGACTCACACACAAACATAAACACACACCACACAGACACACGCAAAGACACACACAACACACACACACAAAAGTAATAATATATGTTACCTTTGTCACAAAGGCTGCCGCTTCACGGTCAACAGGATGAAATCCAGACATGTCTGGGATATCCTCCCCACACAAAGCCGACACAATGGCAGGGTGAAGACAGCTGGGTGCCGGCCCCAGATGTACAATGGACATGGCCATTGCCTTACCTGCCATCTCAAAATCCCCATTCACAATGGCAATGGGTGAACTGATTGGCAAGTAGCCATGTGGGCTAGGCTCGAACAGCCCACTTGTTTCGAAAATGCCCTGCAGGGCCATCCGAAACATTTCGTTTTTGGGCCCGCCAAAGTCTAGTGTGTCCTCCTCTCCAATGAATTTAACTTTGACCATTTTGGAGGCGTCAAAGTTTTTCTTTAACAATTTGTCTTTAAGAGCCCGCCACACATTGTCCCTACGGACAACATACGTTTTGTGGTCTGTTGGGTCTACATTTCTGGCGTTCAGACCAGAGATGACTTCTTTCAGTCTCTGCTGCTTTTCACTGGAAAAAAAAACAACACTTTTTAAGACATGCCCGAATGAGAAAATAATGAAACATTGGCAATTACCAGCCAGCTACTACCAGGCTGGTGCTGACTGTGCAATAATGCCTTCGTTTGTCAGAAGGTTTTAAGTTTAGGTACACCATAAGGGGTTACCATTTTGTAATCGGTTATTACTTAATATGATTTTTGGTACCGGTAGGTAGGTTGAGGTTGGGAAAAGGAAGGTCAATTTTGGGTATTCTAGCAGTTTTGTAAGGTACTGCAGCAGGATACATTGGTATGATATCTTTGCTTTGGACAATTTGCTATGGTCTTGATTTTTGAGCTGGACATGTACATAGATGCTTGGCCGTTAAGTATCTGGTGTGGTTTGCAGCAAAATGGCTGCCTTTTTTGACCTGCTGTTTTCTTTTGTAAGACGAAGTGCTACTAACTTTTGATGTTTACATCTCTGAGAACCCAAACTCATACATGACGAAGGTATATAGTCATCAACATCTTGTTATCAATGTTATATACTGTGTAACATATTTCTAGATGCATACACTACAAAATGGAAAACACGATAATACTGAGTAATAAAGAGTTACCCTGCTTCCATGGGCTGTCTCAGCTCTGGTTCAGTCAGATCTCTGTGGAAATAACATAACTATGAGTGAATACTGCAAAAATCCTTTCATTGCACTGGTCCGAACATGCCTATATTGTTAAACAGCTCAGACAATCTTTTTTAATTTAAACCAAACATTTCTTTTTAAACCTACTTTATGATTCACCACAAAACAAGGCTCATGAGAACTAGTCAAAATGTTTTGGGTTACTGTACAGCCAGTGAGGACAGATGTTTGTTGACATTAGACTTGAAAAGTTTAAGGTTATACCCATATGGTAGGGTATTCCCTAGTGATGTTCTTCCAGGAAAGAAGCTAAATCAGCATGGAACTTCCTCCTAAGAGGTGGTCAATGGAGGAAGAAAAGGCCATTTGCTTCAGTAGAAGTGGCAAGACGTGTATTTACTGAGAATTTTCAAAGTGGGGGCACTAGATCTAGCGAGTGAAGTTACGTGGAGCAATACTGTGGAAATAGTGATACAATAATCCCTGAGGCTTGCAACATTACTCCTATGTGAGAGTGGTTGTACAGTGGCAAACAAGTTGTTGAATTTTTTTTAGTCATTCCCGACAACATGAAGCATAAACAATCCAGCATAAAAATTCCCTAATTAGTCTACAACATGTCCCAGGTCCCCTTCCCACCAACAAGGAGGTCACGGGAGTACATGTACGTGGTAAGGCAGGCTTACATGTAAGTATTAAGGGCAATGAGAAAAATGGATCCTCACCGTGATGTGTCAGCGTCATCACTGCTGACATAGTGCAGCGCGTCTTCATTGTCATAGATTTGCTGCAACATTTCACTGTAAGTCAAAAGATATTGTTTGTTTCTTTTAATTTGAGTATGCATGTCAATGCTCTACTTAATAGCCATTAAAAAGAAGACCCAGGTTTTGTTTCCAAAGTCAGAACAGCCCTTAGTAATGATTCAAAAAGATACAGTTGGTTGATGGGGAGATTTTAAATTCAAATCACAGTATTCAGTGAGAGGACTTCTATCAAGGAGTATAAGATTGGAATTTGTAATCAATGGAAATTCTGACTCACTCTAGTTTTGAATTCAATCAAACAATCTTCAAGTTGAGCCAAGGAGGTCTACACTATAGCCTCCTTGGTTGAACATAATGCAAGGCCAAGATTCCATAACTTTCAGAAGAATGATTTGGATAGAAGTTCAAAACCAAGTTCCAAACTTACGCGAATTCCCTATCTTGACTTGTATCCGGTTGGTAAGGAACAGTTGTGTTATTCGCTGGTGTGCTTGCATGCCCAGGTCCATTCTTGAAGGCAATCTATAAAAAAACCTTTATTAGCATTGGACCTGATATACACAAAGTTTTACTGCACATACACTGAAGTAGGTACAAAGCAAGATATGCATTCAAGCCTGTGGTACTTGGAACTGATAAAAGAATAATTCAGTCAATTTATTCAACTGCTATTTGGGAAACTATCAAAGGATATTCAACGAAGGTTAGTCGGTTCATGGTAAACTTTTTTTATTTTGGATGAACCATTGCTTCATTCAGGGGATACTTAAAAGTATATCTGAAATATTGAAGCTTATGGATTCTCCTACCTCTAGGTCATCTTCACTGGAATCAAGCTCCACCTGGAACTAAACAAATGAATGACAAATGAATAAACTGTGAGCGTTTCATACTCTTATTTGTAAGTCTTCTTAAGCCCAGTCTACCAGGCTTCGGGAGGCGACTGGAAAGAGTAGAAATCAGCCAAATAGAGAGAATAACATGCCAGGGAGTTTGTCTGCTGGGACTGAACATTTTGCTGCGGCTAAAACAGATGATTTCAAGTTGTGTACCATTAGTCTTCTAAGATCTTCTAAGTCTCAATCAGTCACTGGTCTTTGACTACAGTATGAAAAATTTGAAGCAGATCATAAAGTAATGACTCACATTAGCTTCTGTGCCTAAGTCTGGCAGTTCTGGTGTCTCCTGAAAATACAATTCATATTTGGGAAAATTAGGGTAATGATTGGACGAAGCCTCAGGAATAGAAAAGGAATGATCTAAAATGAGAAGCACTGAGACATGCGGACAGCACTGAGACTAATACGTAGTAATTGACTCAAACACTGTTGAAAATTTTTTTAATCAAATGGCAGCCCATCACAAAGAATACAATCTTGCTTTTGTAACTCACATTAGCTTCAGTGTCCAAGTCTGGCAGTTCTTCTGTCTCCTGAGAATTAAAACATTAGGGAACTTCAACTTGGGATATGAGTGGACATTTAGGGCTCAGGAATAAGACAGGCAATATAACTGGCTGAAAAGCTGTTGAGAAATCATTTCAAAACAAATGCATCATCACAAAGAATATAGTTAATTGATTAGTACAATTTAAAATCACTTCTGATGGGGATCATTTTGCAATCTTCTTGCCTAGTGGGTTAGCTAGGCTAAAATGAAGAAAATGTTAAGTACTTGAGCCTATATTAGTTGTTAAAATTACACATCACAAATTATTTGATCATGTATATGAAAAATGCCAAATAAAGTTTCTCACATCATCCAACTTGGCGTCTTCCCAGTGGCCATCCCTATCTTCTTTCTTCATAGATGCCTGGTATCCTGTGAAAGAGTTGATTGATGTTAATGATGGTGCATTATTGTACAAGTTGATCTCATCTTCTTGAAATTGATTTGATAGTCCATGGTATTACCATCCTGGACACCACTGATATTGTGTGGTAAAACCAATTTAAGCATTTCATATTATTTAACACCTCATTAGAACATACCCCTCAGCCAAGGAGAGCCCTTCATTTTCTGTGCCTATATCCCCATAATGAAGGAAAGTGTGGCACTATCCAAAAATTGTGGTACTAAAAATCATTTGCATAAAATTGATACCACACTTTTTGGTTTTCATTGAAACCAGGTCCCCTCTGTGCAGGTTAATCACCCAAGGGACAACAAACAAGAGGACTGAAACCAATCAAACACAGACTCTACCTTTCTCAAAGACATACATGTACTGATATAAACAATACAACTGAAATTGAACAAGAAAAACCGACATTAAACAGATTTGAAAGTTAGCTTTGGTAAAACAAGGAGAAGTCGTAGACATCATCCCTCCATGAAATAGCTTGTTATTTTGTAATCTTTTGGTGTATTTCAATAGAGATATTATGAGTCAAACTTTGTTTTTTTGAGCAGAATGATTTGTGGTGGCACTTTGTATTCATCAAGCTGTCATGTGCAGGCGTTTAGTGTCTTTGTAAAAACCGAAAGGGGCGAGCATGTCACAACCGCCGGGAAACGAACCCGAGTTGTCCGCTTGGCGGTCACCAACGCTAACCATTACACTAAAAGGTCGCACGACCATTTAGCATGGTCAGTTAGCACTGTTACACTACTCCCCCTTTTCTTTCAAGATTCGTCCTCGAATCTTCCGAGTCCGACATCCCTGGAGCTGCCACACTTATCCTCAGTGCCAGTACTCACAGGGCCCACATGTGGTTAGGATTCGTGGCTTTCACCCACGCGGCCCGGGTTCGATTCCCGGCATGGGAACCACTGTAAAAACCGAAAGGGGCGAGCATGTGACAACCGGGAATCGAACCCGAGTTGTTCGCTTGGCGGTCACCAACGCTAACCATTACACTAAAAGTTCGCACGACCATTTAGCATGGTCAGTTAGCACTGTTACATCTTGTTACCATGGTTTGTTTACTTTGATGGCCAGCAGGTCATTTGCCTTAGCCTGGGTACCATCCCCAGTAGGAGATGGGGTTTTGTGCGCGTGAAAAATTTGCGCGCGCGTGAAAAATTTGTGCGTGAAAATATGCAAATTAGCCGATTCCCAAGGGATTGAAAAACTTTTTGCTGTTTTGGACTTAAAAATATAGATGAAAAGTCATGAAATAGAATTGAGTATCATATTATCACATTCTAGAGTACATAGCCTTGTTTTGTAAACTTTTCAGTGACTTTTAGGTGATTTTCAAAGTTTAAGTTTTCACGCGCAAAAAAGTTTGAAATTTGCGCGTGAAAGAAACTGCTTCATAAAATGCCAAATCAAGCTTATAGAATGGAGAAAAGCCTGGAATTGTTAAATTTAACAATACAAAACCCTGTATTAGTAACTGTTCCATGTTTTTCTGGCAAATTCAAGTAATTTTTTAATTTTAATGTTTCTTGGAAGATATGCAAATTAACCTATTCCCAAGGGACCTAAAAATTCAAACCGAAATTTCAGGTTGTAGATGGAAAATCATGTTACAGGGTAACATTTTTCTGCATTAGAATTTGGTACTGCATATTTTCTGACATTTTCAAAGGACTTTAATTTTTCACGCGCAAATTTTTCACGCGCGCGCAAATTTTTCACGCGCAGAAAACCCGTTCCCCCCAG